CCTCAACCCCCCCCGCGCCCGCCTGTCGCCCCCCCCCCCCTCCCTCCTCACGCGCCCCCCCCGCCCCCTCCCCGAGCCCCCTCTCGTCGCCGCCATCCGCGCCCTCGGCCTCGCCGCCAAGCCCCTCTCCGCCCTCCGGCTCTTCCTCCGCTTCCAGCCCCTCTCCGTCAGGTCCCTCAACGCCCTCCTCAACGCCCTCGTCCAGAACAACCGCCACCGCTTGGCCCTCTCCCTCTTCAACGCCTCCCTCAAAAAATTCCGCATTCTCCCCAACGTCGTCTCCTGCAACATCCTCCTCAAAGCGCTCTGCAAAACCCCCCACCTCCACGCCGCGGTTAGGGTTTTCGACCAGATGAGCCTCATGGGCTTGGTCCCCAATGTGGTCTCCTACACCACCGTTTTGGGTGGCTACGCGCGGAGTGGTGACATGGATTCCGCTGTTAGGGTTTTCCGTCAGATTTTAGATAGAGGCTGGACTCCTGATGCCAGTGCTTACACTGTTTTCATGAGTGGCTTTTGTAGAACGGGGAAATTGTTGGATGCAATTAGGGTCATGGATGAGATGGAGGAGAATGGGGTTTACCCTACTGAGGTTACTTATTGTGTTATCATTGAGGCTTTTTGTAAGGCCAGGAAGGCCGGGGAGGCCGTCAATTTGCTCCAGGATATGCTTGCCAAGGGCTTTGTGCCGCCTGCGCCGTTGCTTTGCAAGGTTGTTGATTTGTTGTGTGAGGAGGGGAGTGTGGAGAGGGCTTGTGAGGTGTGGAGGGGGGTTGTGAGGGCCGGGTTTCGGGTGGGTGGCGAGGTTGTGAGTACAATTGTGCATTGGCTTTGCAAGAAGGGGGAGGTGGCGGAGGCCAGGAGGGTGTTTGATGAACTTGAGAGAGGGGAGGTTGCCAGTTTGTTGACTTATAACACGTTGATTGCGGGGTTGTGTGAGAGAGGGGAGCTTTGCGAGGCGGGGAGGCTGTGGGATGATATGGTGGAGAAGGGTCGTGTTCCTAATGCTTTTACTTATAATGTGTTGATTAAGGGGTTTTGTGGGGTTGGGGATGTGAAGGAGGGGGTCAGAGTTTTGGAGGAGATGGTGGAGAGTGGATGCTTGCCTAACAAATCGACTTTTTTGATATTGGTTGATGGGATTTCTCGGTCAGGAGGAATGAATGAAGAAATCGAAAAGGTGGTTTCCATGGCCACCAAGACGGTTGGAGTTGATGGTGACTTGTGGGGTCTTTTATTGAGACATGTTGTGGGTAATTTAGATGGCAATGCAGCTCAGCTCGATAGGATATTAACAGAGAATGTAGTGTAATAATGGAAACTCTTTGGGATTTGCTGCTGAGTCTGATCTTTGGAAGGTGATGACAAAAGGGGATTGATTCGAATGAATGCTGGGCATTGTTTATCCAATGAAGAGGTATTTTTATATCTTGTATACTCTCCAGATGGTGAACTTGAAAGTGATAATCAATTGAGCAGGAAAGGAACCATTTATTAACTGAAATTTTGTCCAATTACAATGGCAGAACATTATAATCGCACATCAAGACCAAGTATGTTTGTTACAAAATTTAACTGTCATCCCCTTCAACTTATGGAAGTTTGATTATGAAAATATGGTGACATGAGTGAGTAGCATGTCATTTATTCAACTACTGCTGTCTATTTCTGAATTGTGGCACGGATATTTTTAGTCTCTAATTCAATTGTTTTGTATTGAATTGCAGGTTATATTTTTTGTCCGCCTAAGACTGGGAATGGATTCCGAAACAAATGGAATGAATGAATATTTGTAAGTTGCATTACATGATTCCTTTTGTGGTATGCCCCAAGAATGAAATAGGTCATGGATACTGAGCCCAGAGTTGTCAAATAAATTCATTTTACAGATTCAAGTTTTTGACGGGAGTCTCATTCCATTACCGACTGCTGTTGAGTGAGTTTGAGCTGTGTTTGAACTAATGAAAATCATTGGAGGGTTCAACTGTTCAAGACCTGTTTGTATTTTTCAAAACTGTATCTGTAAGTAAAAAAGAGTTGTATCTTAGTTTGTTTCCTATTAAGTTGCAGCTATGAAAGGCATGTCACTGACTATGAGCCAGCTTTGCTTGATGCTATTCTGCCTGTAAATCTGGTCGAGAAAGATGACCATAAGAAGTGAATAAAAGAGTTTGTGGATTTGCAGTTGGTACTTGGTAGTGTTGCGTTAGCATTAGGATTTAGGATTGATGTAAATGTAGTAACAGAAAAGTGACATCAAAAGGAAAATGTTTTTAGTAATCTCATGCTGCCCTGCCCTATGGTTTAGCCTATCTCTTTGTTAACTAATTCTGTTGTGGAGATTGTATTTCTCTATTTTGAGAGTATCTGTAAAAGGGGAAAATCCTAAAAAGCTGAGAATAATTTTAAAGAAGAGCTTTGGAGCTACCAAGATCAAGTTCTGCGCCATACTCAAAAGAGTTTAACATCAAATTATCATAATGATCTTCAACAATCCCAAGGACGATGGAGGATTTCTCTGAACCTCGGTAATCAAAATTAAAAACGCAGTGTATTCTCTTATTCTGTTAATTTTCTTCATTGCAAATACTTGTGTTCTTCTAAAATCCCTCTAATGTTTATTTCATAGCTCTGTTGTGTCTGTTTTGATTTATATTTTACATGTTTAAACTCATCTATTTTAAGTAGGTTGTACAAAAACTTGTCCGGTGCATTAAAATAATTAAATATGTTTTTAGTAGCTCATATGAGGTAATAACACGAACAATGATTATACAATTCCTATGCTACTTCAGATAGAGGTGAGATAATCACCGAATGTTTCAAGCCATTTCAACAATCACCTTAAACCTTTTGGATTTGTTCAACAAAATCGGGTTCTATTACATCTTCTAACGAGCTGCAGTTGAGATTTCAAAATATATCTTTGGTTTTATGAAAATGGAGGATAGCGAGAATTTAATTGTTGTCTATTGACAAGCAGAATCGTATTTTTGAGCCAGAGTACAATTTGATTTTTTTTTAATTATTTTTTTCGCTCATCACTTCATTTAATAAATAATAACAATTTTCAGATTTTTCATAAAAGAATCTGTTAGTTAAAAAGCAATAATTTTATAATATTTTCTTTTTAAAAAAATCGTCTTCTTAAAAATTTAAATTTTAATCTCTTGAAATTATATAATCCTTTACATTGATCCCCAATATACAATTTCCGCAGCTCGAATTAATGCGCAAAACTTCTTGCAGTAGTGGAATATCATGCCCCCATTATTTCAATTTAATGTATTTATTTATGTAGTTTTTTCGATTTCTATATTAGAATTAGCATTGTGCTGTTCTCAATCGAAAAACATCTATAGCTAGGCTTGTTTTAGTACCTTTACTTGTTTGTTTGGAAATTTCACCAGACTTTTAAAACACTTGCAAAAGTCAAATTTGCGCAGTTGAGATCTAAGGTTTGGAAATGCTTCAAACTACCTCTGAAAAGGTTCAAACTATTTCAATTTGCATTTTTTAAAATGTTTTTTGTTAAAAACATAACAAGCAGTTCTATTAGGCCATTGTCACTTACCACCCATATAATTTTAACATAAAATAGGAGATACTCTTTTATTAATTTGTATACTGAATCATATAGTTCGTTTGGCATTGTTTTAAATATCTGTCCCAATAAATTTTGTCAATCTTAGTGCACATTGTTATGTGAACAGTATAAAAAGATAAATAAAATTTATTTAAAGTTAATTTGTCTATCAAATAAATAAATAATGTATTTATATTTCATTCAATTTAAGTAAGGAATGATCTTAAATTAGAATAAATGATTATGTTGTGCGATATGCAAAGTGAAAAAAATCTGTAATATAAGAGATTATATTATTACAATCTATACACTTTTATCACTTCACATTAGGCACTTATTTAATATAAAAAAAAAAACAGTTGAATAAAACATTTTAAAAGTTAAAACAACTGGTTTCTCGATTTTTCATCATCGATATTGGATAAATTTGACTAGCACATAGATTTTGAAATTAGTAGTTCTTTTTTGTGTTAAAAAAATCATATACCTAATCCATGCATTATTTTTCCACTCAAATCAGCTGGTCCAAATTTTAAACAATAATTCTATAGCAAGCAAAAACATATATATCAAAGAACAAGATCAACAATAGTCATATTAAACAACTATTCCACTAACTTAAATTAAAAAGTGAATATAAATGCTTTTTGCATCTAACACGTCTCTCTTTAAACAGTAAATTAACCTTTGACATTCAAGCATGGGCAATTGGCATATTTCCCCCCATGCAAGAAACCTTTGGATAGATTGAATTTTATTTAGAAAATTTGAGGAATATTTCACTCTGAATTATTATGGTTAGAAAAGTTCTTAACCAACTATTCAAGTAGCTAAAACTTTTAAGTAAAACACGAAAATGATTTTATATTTCAACACGTTACTTACTAGAGTTACATTAATCAGATCAGATGCCCCCAATGTTATCACATGACATAAAAGTTAAATATCGAACTTTGATCGAAATATGATATGAACCATGAAAAAAAAATAAAATAAAGTTACAATGTAAAAATCTCACAAAATTAAAAGTGTAAGTCATGACACTTTGTCCTTGAAAGCATGAAAATTAAAAAATAAAAATAATTTTTTTTGAAAAGTGTAAAACATTACTCATTTTAATCCAATTTTTTTTTTATATGTAGGACTTAATCATAATATTATCTATATTAGAAACTAAAATAATTATAAGTGATTAAATTTAGAGACACTACAATTTTTAAGAACTCATAATTTTTGACATGTATCTGACGAACCAAATGGTGTTTTACACTGTTAATCACTTAACAAAATATCTTAGATTTCTTAAAAAAAAAAAAAAAAAAACTTAGATTAACCTAAATCACTGTTAAAACTCCTTGTTTCGATTGAAGTGTGCACGTGTAATTTTATAATCAATATCCAAAGTTTTCTAATTACCGTAGACCCATTGCATGCCTTTTACGACCCTTGTGCCTAAACTACACGTAGTGTATTTGAAATTCATATCTTCAAGATTTATTGTCACTGTCACAGTGTCACGCATGATTTGTACATGTTTTGCTGAAACCAATTGGCGATTAAACATTAGAAAACACGTCATGTGGTTTACTTTTTCTTCGAGCATATTAAAACCTTGCTTTCAATATCAATTTGCCGTAGATTTTGTACAAATAATATTTAATAATTTCAATCATGCAGAGTTTGAAATAAAAAGTACAAGTTCTTAGACTATCAACCTATTATATCCAAAACTACTACTTCCTGCTTCTTAATAGGTTGACCATGCCTTTTGAAATTGTTAGTACTTTAAGATCAACCCATTTTCTGGGCCCCTCTTACAGTTTCTTATTGTTTTGAAACTGATCATTTAAATCCTTCATGAATTTAGCACAGAAAATAAGGATCTTTGGTCAACTGTTTGCCGTTTTGGTATCATTGGAGAAAATAAAAATTGGCATTGACTTTATGATCAGGTTATGACAATGTTTTTTAAATTCTAAGAGAAAGGGAATATTTCCCTGGCAATATAGATATACCACTGAAAGAAAACAAAAAAAAAATTGATGGGTAATCAACATAGAACTGGTCCTTTCTAGAAGGGAATTTGAACTGGTAGCTTTGATTTCCCCTAATTTTGAATCTTTGGTATTGGAAAAAAAAAATGTTGAAAGAGGGGTAACAGAAAAAGAACTAAAAGGAATTTCCCTAACTTTCAGCCAGTGTCAATGACTGTGCTGTGTATTCTCAGTTTATATATTCATATGCATATATTTACACCAATGATTGCCATATTTTTCCCTCCAAGGAGATTATGACAATAGAAATGTCATCATGGTAATGACGGCGTTCCCCTTGTGGAATATCAAGCAACTCATGGAACTCTATACCTGCATGCAACAATGAAGTCAAACTCACTATGATTGTTTAGAATTCCTTTACTGATATAGATCCTGTTTGGATACAAACTTAGAAAAACATTTGGAAGTCTCTTTACTGAGGAAAGCACTTAAGTTTTTTTTTCTTCTAAATTTGTATCCAAGCAGAGTCTTAGTTGAGGGGAAAAGTGTTTTATACCAGCCTTTTTTGCTGCTCGAGTAAGTGCTTCTTCAATGAGAAGTTGTGCAGGATCTCTATCTGGAAACATGGTGATGAATGACTCTACTTTGGCAGCTGCTTCTTCGTTGGTGAAGTATTGGTAGAGTCCATCAGAAGATAATATCAGGAACTTGTCATTTGGACTGAGTTTGTGGTGGTGGAGTGAAGGGGAACATGTGATGTATGGGGATTCCCCTATGTAGCTCACTCTGAAAGTCTCTAACACTGCATTGTTTTGCTTAGGCTGCAAAATGGATCAACAAAGTCATGCCATGGGTGTATATAGAGAGAGCAGTGAAGTAATCCAACAATTGAGGTGAAATATAGTGGTTCTTTGAAGTAGCAACTGGGGTGCAACAAAATTTTAAGGCTGTTGTGTTGTCATGACACATGTGCTATGATTAGTCTTAACAAAGTTGACTTGTATTATTACTTCTAAAACCAATAATCAATAATATAATTCAATGTAACAGTAAGGAATAGGAGTCTAAAACTAGCATTGCATGTTTATTATGCACTAACAAGAAGAAAGCCTATAACGCATCTTTACAAAAGGTTCAATAGCTTTAAATGTGACTAATGCTTTGTTTGATGAAGGGGAAGGAATAGAAGGGAATGAGAGAGAATATGAATTGATTTGATAAGAAATAAAGTGATAATTTTGTAATTGTTTGATAGAGTGAAATTAGATGAGAACTAAAACGAAATTGATATTTAAAATTATTATTTTACCTTCTCTTACAATATAGTTTGAATAATTTTTTTTCATGTTGTAATTTTACATGTCTCCTAAATTTTACAAGAATCTCTTTAATGGTGTGAGTATAAAAAAATAATGTGGGACTCACTTTTAATTCTTCACGGTTTTCTTTAAATACCTTCCACCAAAAGCAAATATTTTCTTCAAATCTACTGTAATACATTCTCTTTCTATTAAATCACTTCCACCAAATAGAAGTTAAGTCTCAATTGAGGATTAGTCTTATAGTCGACCCAAAAAGTCAAAATTTACAGGGATATTGGAGAGTAAAAAGCCTTAATTACAGTGGTTACGAAAATCTAAAAAAATGCCTTATCTTATTAGGTGAAGTTAGTTACATGGGTTGCATGACCCCGGTTAATTTCAATTAAAGATCAAATTCTATATTATTCAGCATAAGATTTCTTAGCAATATTTTTTATGCAGTAATGTAAGTAATTCAACAAAGAGTATAAAATTACCTGCTTAAGGAACCCAGCCCCAAAAGCCCTTGTGACACTCAAGCAACCCTTCACCCGGCCTTTGGTTACTGCTAAAGGGTCATCAGGGTGCTCCCTCCTGATTCTGTAAACCTCCTGAGATTCACAAAGGTCTCACAAACTATGTCATATGAACTTAAAACACCAACCTTCATTCATTCATTCATTGCTCAGAAAACAAGTTGCATTGCACAAGCTACCTCTTTCGCATGAGTGCTATGCTCCATGGTGAGCTGAAGAGAATCCCCAGAGTGAGTGGCCAACACAGCACGACTATCTCCCACATTCATCAAGTAAACATCTTGACCCTTCATCACCATCACCAAAACACAAGAACCCATCATTGCCAACACAGGGTTGTGACCAATCATCTCATCAGAAATCCTCATGAATGCATCCTCAGTCTTCCTCAACGCCTCTGAAAGAGCTTGCAACACATGATTTGAGTCACTCAACTCCACTTTTCCACATTCCAAATTCAACTCTTCATTTACTATTGGACAGTTTTCTTTGTTTTCACCTGAAGAACAACAACCATGAACCAACCCATTTCCCTTAAACTCCAAAGAGCCTGAATCCATAGCCATGGATTCAAACTTCTTGTTGTGACCACACAGCATCTCCTTGAGCTCGTCATTCACAGCATAAAACAAATTGTTGAGAAGGAAATCAGTGGCATCAGGGCCATTAAACCCATCATAAATCCCCACAAAAACCCATCCATGATCCTCACAAATCACAATATGCACACGATCCTCACCACCTCTCCCTTGAGCCCAATGAAGATTCTCACACCCCATCAACACATCATCATCATCATCATCATCATCCAAATAGTTATCACCCTCAACACCATTCAAACTCAACTCAGCACTCAAATTAGTACTACAACTAACTCTAGCATTAGCGTTGTCATTTTTCTTGAAAATCGACATTCTCCCAATGGAAGAAAACTTGCTGAAAAACTTTTTCAAAATTCTGCTACTTCTCTTCACCTTCTTCACAGGTTCCTCAGGAGAAACTCTCTCAATGGAGCCATCACGATCGTAAGGACCCCAATACAACCCTCTTTCCGTGGACCCTCCCACAGAGAATCCACGATCAAAAGGCACCACGGTGGAAGTGAAGGAGGCAGAGCTCTGAAACGAAGCAGAGGAATCCAAAACGGTGCCGTGTTGGAGCGAGTCGTCGAGCGACGTCGAAGCCGTCGCCGACGAGTTTGCGCTCACGGTGGCGCCGAAGACCGACCGGAAAGTCATGACGGTGACGTCTCCGTCGCCGGAGAACCGACACGTGTCGGGTCTCACGTAGCAGATGGAGTTTCCGAGGTCTCTGTGGCGTTGCTTGGAGAGGAAGGAAACTCTGTCCTCGAACCTCCCGGAGGAGTCGCCGGTGGAACAGCGAAAGAGGTTACCGATTCGGTTACCCATTGGAGAGCAGAATCGAAGGAAGGGTTCAAGTTTTGAGCTTTGGATGTGGGTGTGGCAATGCTGGAAGTGGAGCAACTTGCATTGCAGAGAGAACAAAACAGAGGAAAACAGAACAAAACAGAGGAAAACAGGGGTGAAACTGAATACAAGGAAGAGGGTGTTTTTGGGAAGAGAAAGAAGAGGGTGTTGACTTTGTTGCACCTCTTTAAGTTTTTTAAAATGGAAGTGTTGTTTTCTTGTAGTTCATGGCAGTTTTTCTTATATTTTGTTTGTTTCTTCTTGGTCAGTTAGTTGACTATGAATTTGAGTAAAAGGCAGGGAGATGCAGTTTTTATAATTTGGAAGTGAATGAGGAAGAGTTTATAAGAGGGAAAGGGTTGTACTTTTTAAATTGAAATAGTAATGGCAATTAATTTGGTGCTTTTGACTTTGCTAGAGTTAGCATAGAAATGGCGTGGGAGGCATTTATGAAGGGTTTTATTGCTACCTTCTATTTTTTCTTTCACCTAATCACCACATAGGTTATTATTTTTTTTAGACTTCATATAAGTTCAAGTTAACAAACATAAATGGAGGAGAAATTCTACATGAGAATAAGTGAAATAGATTGATTTTAGATTTAAAATATTTTTAGTCAAATATAAAGTGAACGAATTTTGGTTTTGATCTCTTCGCTTTTTATTTTAAATTTTTCTAAAGTTTGGTATTATTATTTTTTATTCTTATAAAATGAATAAGAACTAATTTTTGTCGGTGTAAGATATTTTTTTTTTTATTTTTATCTTTCTAAAATCATTATTTTCATTTTAATGTTCATTTTAAAATAAATAAACAATATTTTTTATACATCTATATTTTTTTTATAGGTATAACATGCTAACATAATATTACATATAGTTGTGGATGTGCCCTTATGATTACATATTAGTAAAAACTAAAAACAATAATTCTTAATTTAAAAAAAAAAAATTTAAGCTTTGAAATGCATTTTCCCAGACATCAAACGGAAAGTAACAAGAGAGTAAAATTTATTGAACATACGTTACGTTGAAATTAACTTGGAGCGTATTTAGTTTAGTTTCAAATACATTTTTTGAGACATCAAACAGAAAATAACAAGAGAGTAAAATTCATTGAATTTGAACATGCGTTTCGTTAAATTTGACTTATATTTACAGTTTCAAATTCACTTTCCAAGGCATCAAATGAAAAGCAACAAGAGAGTAACATTAATTCAATATACATTATGTTACATTGAATTTAACATTTTTTCAAATACACACTCATTTTATATACATCAAAAATATGTTTAAATATAGATTTCATCATGAATAATTAAACTTCAAATATACAAGTGATATATTGTTTTAAGATATATGAGCGTGAATATAGAGATTTCCTGTTGTTGCCAATCTAATATTAGTGATATATTTTATTTTTTTATATTAAAAAATAAGTAAATATTTGGTTGCTTCATTGTCGTGATTATTGGCATATATAAGGTGATTGGATGATACAAAATCTAAGTTTGAACTCACTCTTATGATATGGTTGAACAACAACTGATAAAAAAAAAGTGGAGAATCTAAGCATGAAGTTGAACTATGAGATTCCTCAATTTCATGACACACCAAAGACAAAGCAGAACTGAATCGTGTGAGATTGGTAATAAGTATTTTCAGCATCACACTTTGACTCAAATGAAACATTACACGTGTTTGAGATCCAAATCAGTTCTATACTGTGTCTGTGCACAATCTTGCATTAAACTATATATTATACTACTCAGATTCCACAAAATAACATGCTTCTTATTTTGCTGCATGAAATAACATTAACCTTTTCAATCATGTTGCATAAGCATGCAGTTAATGATTCCACTTTTGTCTATAATTTTTTTCTGCATGTATTTTTAGAAAAAGGAAAATAGTCTTTAATTATTAATCAAAAGATATTCTTCATAAAAACAAATCTCAATTATGCCACATACATTCTACCATCAATTGTTTTATTTTGCAATGCTAATAGTTTTTCTTTTGGGTTAAACTTATATGGACAAGGAATGGTAGACTGTCACATCAGGTAGAGAAATTTTATGGTAAAAAAGGGAAGAAAAAAAAGAACTTGATTAATATTAGCCATGCTGAAAGCAAAAAGGTGAAAAACACTTGTATATGCTACATTGCTATATAATAAGTGCAATAAGTAGCTTATTTTCTAGCACATAGGTCACTAGTCTGAAAAACTGTACATAGGAGATATTAAAAAGGCTATCTAACATTAAAAGGTTATCTGACATTTTAATTCCTATGTATGTATCACATACTCATCATGCCTTAAGTCAACGGCAATAATAAATAAATAAAATCATGTACAATGTCATCATTGCACTGCATTATTTCTCTTATAAATATTTGATTCTAAACTAAACTGGAAATAAAAGTTAAAGAGAGGTTCTCATAAAATTTCTCACACACTTTATCATTTGTTAAATTTTATTAAAAATTATATAGTCATAATCAGTTAAATTTGTCAAATAAAAAATGAGACTTAAGATTACAATTTCTAATAAATTTTAATTAATAATAAATATTATGTTAATAAAAGTATGATATTAACTTCTTTCAAGGTTAAATTATTTTTTTATTATAACATAAAACTCTAATATTGTGGTCTTGATATTTGATTCCTTGGTAAGTATTTTTTAAAATTTATTTTTAAATTTTTTAATTATACTAGTCAGATGAATATAAATAAATAAGTTTTTTACTCAAGTTTGTTAGCATTGATAAAGTTACTATATTTAAAGCATTGTTTGACGTTAGAAAGAGAACTTAAGTCATTTTTATTTTTTAGTTTCGTTTAAGAGACTCACTATAATATAAAGAGTTTTTAGCAATATTTGAAAAATATTACCTAATTATGTATAAATGCTGTTAATTTGCTTTGTAGTATATTATTAAATGTTGTATATAGTTCATATTGCTAAAGACTTTAAATAACATTTTTATATATTAAGTAATATTTTTCAAATGTTATCAAAGTGGTATTTTTGTATCATTTTAATGATGTTTCTAAGTTCTTGTTAACTTTATAAAGTGATAATTAGTTTTAATTTAGATATTGCTATCAATTAATATATTTTTATGCCTCATAAACTCATAGGAATTCTTTAAGAAAAGGTTGAAGACATTTTTAATTAGTCACAACTAATTATCATCAAATATCAAAGTTCATTTATCTTAAGTATAACTATATGATTATATATACTCTTTATGAGTCATTCATTTATTCGATGTGAGACTTTAATTATGGATAACAATTATAAATGAGAGAAATATTTTTTTTACTCGATGTGAGACTTTAATTTTAAAAGCAATTAGAAAGAATAATGTTAAGATAAAAAAAAAATGTTACTTATCTATAGTAACTTTTTTCAAAAAATGTTGCAAAATAACCTATGCAATATTTTTTTACTCGATATGAGATTTTGATTTGAAAACAATTGGAAATAATAATACTGAAATAAAAAATATTACTCTATATATAATAACATTTTTCAAAAACAAATGTTGCAAAATAACCTATTTATTCAACATATAGTAACATTTTAACAAATGTAAGAAAGAAAATATTGCTAAAGAATTAAAATGTAGTAGTGACTTATTTTTATGTGTGAAAAAGTTTCACATCGTTTAAGGTAGTTTATAAGTATTATCTTCTTTTAACCTATTGAAACACTTTTCTAGGATAAAACTGTAACAATTCAACAAATGTCAAAGTGGATAATACCTTGGATGTAGTGACTCTAACGATGTTAGTGAACTTGATGTCAAGATATTGCCCTAGTATGTCAAAAAGCTCCAAATCAATTAGGAATTAGGATTTGTGGCAAGGGTAGTTTATAAAATCCTCTTACCTTAACTCATCAATACATTTATTTAATGGTAAAATTGTAACAGTCCAACAAGCATTAAATCTTAACAATATCAGCAAACTTTCTGAACAATAACTATCCATAAATATTCAAGATTTAAATAAGTTGATAATTAGATCACTATTTAAAATGTCTTAATCATTTATCTTTTAACATTAATCATTGTTTTTGTTACATTAACCTGAATCATTTAAGTATGGTCTCACAATTTATTATTATAATTATATCTTTTAAAATAATAAGACTTTTTATTTTATATGTTCTATATTTATTATTATTATTATTATTATTATTATTATTATTATTATTATAATCATCATCATCAAGGAGTTCCCCCATTGAATATAAAGACTAATGTCCCACAGAATTTGACAAATATCAAATAGGTAGACATCGAATAAGTGGACATTCTCTTCCAGCTTGAGTTTTCTATATTCTCAAAAGTCAAAATTCAAATCCCAACCACTTGATTAAAGGATGCAAGTCTCTTACCATTCGCACCCACTCAAGTTGGATTTTATATGTTATATATATAGTTAAATAAGTAGTATATGTATTTTTAAATTCTTATGATGATTGGAATATATATAAATTAAATTTCAGTGACAAAAATAAATAGATATATTTATATGTCATAAAATATGTAACGATTTGATAGGTCACTACACACAACACAACAACATAAATCATTTGTATAATCTCTCTTTCCTTATCTCTTTACTTGTTTATTTAAATTATTGTATTCATCGATATATTGATACTTAATCTGAATCATAAACAAGTAAATTTGGAAACTAGTTTTAGAAAACATACTTAGTTCCACATAAATAAGGAATAATAACATATGGAGAAGGCAACGTGTGTGAGAGAGAATATATTGTGTCGTAGGAGCATATTAAATTTTATTGAATAACTTGAATTTAAATACATTTAAATAATTGAATAAAAGATATACTCCATGATTTTAGGAGTTTTTGATAATAACTGAAGAATAAAATCTAAAACTAATTAATCTACTAATAACACAATAACATATTTTTATTAAATAATTGACTTATTCAAATAAAAAAATTAATTTTATTGAGTGAAACTAAAACTAAAATTGTTTTAACAACATTTA